GTTGGTTCGAGCCGGGTGAGGCTAGATTATTGGGCACAGACTTTGTTCAGGATGATTTGGAGAAAGTCAAGGTGATTCAGGATAGACTCCGTACAGCGCAGTCTAGACAGAAGAGTTATGCAGACCGAAAGGTTCGTGATGTTTCCTACATGGTTGGAGAGAGGGTTCTGCTTAGGGTTTCGCCTATAAAGGGTGTTATGAGATTTGGGAAGAAAGGGAAGCTGAGTCCGAGGTTTATTGGCCCGTTTGAGATTTTGAGACATGTTGGGAAGGATGCTTAAGAGCTTGCCTTACCTCCTAGCTTGGCAGGGGTTCATCCGGTATTTCATGTCTCGATGCTCCGGAGGTATCACGGTGATCCGTCGCACGTGTTGGATTTCAGTTCAGTCCAGTTGGACAAGGATCTATCTTATGTTGAGGAGCCAGTGGAAATATTGGACAGACAGGTTGGGAAGTTGAAGTCAAAGAACATTGCATCAGTGAAGGTTCAGTGGCGCGGAAGCCGGTTGAGGAGGCGACCTGGGAGACTGAGCAGGATATACGCAGCCGTTACCCTCATCTTTTCACTACTTCAGGTATGTCTCAATGCTCGTTCGAGGACGAACAAATGTTTAAGTATGGGAGGATGTAACGACCCGGCCGGTCGTTTTTAAAATTTACGCCTCGATCCCCTATCAACTGCTTTCCCCGTGTTTATTTCTGCTATTTTGAATTTCCGGGATGTTCGTTTTGAATTTCGGAGAGTTATGGGACACTTAGTCCCTAAATGAGAGCTTAAGTGCTGAAAATTTGACCGTAGTTGGAACAATGTGAAGACGGTCCCGGAATAGGATTTCGATGGTCCCGTTAGCTCCGTTTGGTGATTTCGGGCTTAGGGGTGTGATCGAATTATGTTTTGGAGGTCCGTAGCTAATATAGGCTTAAAATGCCGAAAGTTGGATTTTTGAAGTTTCCGGTTTGATAGTGAGATTTTGATCCGAGGGTCTGAATGAAATTTTGAGAGTTGCAGTGGTTCCGTTGTGTCAATTGGGATGTTCGTGCAAAATTTTAGGTCATTCGGATGTGTTTTGGTTGGGTTTTTGATCAAAAACATAATTTAGAAGATTTTGGAGTTCTAAGGCTTGAATCCGATGCGAATTTGGTGTTTTGATGGTGTTTTGAGCGTTCCGAAGGTTGGAACAAGTTCGAATTAGGTTATGGGATATGTTGGTATGTTTGGTTGGGGTCCCGGGGGCCTCGGGTGAGTTTCGGGTGGTCAATCGGACCATTTCGTGATGTTTGGAGTTGCAGAAAATTGCAGATCAGTGCTGCAGAGAAATGACCTTCGCGTTCGTGAGTGGGTCCTCGCATTCGCGAAGGGTCATCTGATGAAGCTGGGATTTAAGCCTTCACGTTCGCGATGAAGGCTATACGTTCGCGAAAGGCTTGGAGTTTTGTCATCGTGTTCGCGTGAGGTGGACCGCGTTCGCGTAGAGGAAAAATGGTCAGCTGGGTTTGAGGTATTTATTCAACGCGTTCGCGAGAGGGGGACCGCGATCGCGAAGGGTGGTCTGAGTAAAACATCGCGCTCGCGATTGGAAGGTCGCGATCGTGAAAGAGGAAATTTGGTCAAAGTTATTTTGTGCTCCGCGAACGCGAGGCTTTGACTGGTTCGCGACGAAGGATTTCAGGCCTGGGCAAAATGTTTTAAATAGTCGTCTTGTCCGCGATTTTGGGGTTTATTTCTTCCGTTGTTGGTCGTTTTTTGAGCTTTTTGAAGAGGATCGAAGAGGGATTTAAGGGAAATCACTTAGGGCTTGAGATTAAGAGACCTTAAAGAGGTATTTGAGGGGTCAATTGAACTCCGATTTTAGTGTTTTTGTTATGTATAGACTCGTGAGAGTATGAGGATTCTGAAAATGTAAATTTCGCCCGATTTTGAGACGTTGGCCTGAGGGGCTATTTGGGTCATTTCACCTAATTTCGTATTAGCTTAGAATTTATATGTAGAATTAGTTTCTTGAAGTATTATTTACATTATGCAATTAAATTGAATAGATTTGGGCCATTTGGAGTCGAATACTCGTGGCAAGAACATGGTTTCGGGTTGATTATCGAGCTGGTTCGAGGTAAGTGGCTTGCCTAACCTTGTGTGGGGGCCTTCCCCTTAGGATTGGTATTTTAATTAATTGAAATGCCTTGCATGTAAGGTGACGAGTGCGTACTTGTGCTAATTGTTGAAAAATTGGGCTTCCGTTAAGAACTTATAATTTGTTGTTTTCCTTTCCATTACTTGCAAGTTAAGCCTGTTCTTAGCTTAGAAAAGCATGTCTAATTGATTTAACTGCTTATTTGCTCTACTGTCCTAATTGAATTATGTGCAGCATGCTAGGTTAGAAATACCTGCTTTACCTTCGTGTGAAATTGATTGATTTGGGTATCTTGTTGCTGCTATGTATTTATTTTGGGACTACGGGATGGTATCTTGGGAGCTCCCCTGTATGTTTACTTTGGGACTACAGATTGGTATTCCGGGAGATCCCCCTGCAGTTTTACATTGGAACTACGGGATTGCACCAGGTAGATTCCCCAGTACTGAGTATTTTTATTTGGGACTACAGACTTGTATTCCGAGAGTCCCCATGTACGTTTATGAGTTGGACTACGGGACTGCACTCAGGAGATCCACCGGATATTATATTTGGGGACTACAGGACGGTATCCTGGGAGATCCACCGGTTGTTATCTTTGCGTTGAACTGTATTTGTTTACCGCGATCACTTGTTTTCTATTTCTTTACATCCCGTGTTGCCCTTACTTCTGCACTCATTTATGTTGCTCTATTTTACACTGTCGAACTTATATTATATTTAATCTCAGTAGGGCCCTGACCTTCCTCGTCACTACCCAACCGAGGTTAGACTTGGCACTTACTAAGTACCGCTGTGGTGTACTCATGCCCTTCCTGCGCATGTTTTCATGTGTAGATCCTGGTACCTCTACTCAGACTTACCATCCTTGAGGCGAGGCGATCTTTTGGAGACTTCAAGATATATCTGCTGCGTCCGCAGACCGAAGACTCTCTCTCTATTCTCTCTTGTAGTTACAGCCCTTCTGTATTTACTTTATTTAGACATTCTGGAGTTAGAACACTATTTAGTATTCTTAGCTTGTGATTCATGCCTTTCCGTGTTTTGGGAATATGTATTAGTTTTTTAGAGATAACGTTGTGCACAACGGCACTTTTAAACGTTGTTTTACTACTCTATCTCTGTTTTAACTTGCTTCTTCCGCAAATTGGTTTATTTTTCGTATAATAGGCTTACCTAGTCGTAGAGACTAGGTGCCGTCACGATGGTTTACGAAGGGCGAATCGGGGTCGTGACACATAGGTATAGCTTTACATAACATCATCAAGCCTATGAGGGCATCCCGTCATAACGTCTCGGCCATTGTGGGCAACATCATCAACATATACCAACTGATCAGATGGTGGTGCGTATATAAAGCCGTAATCTTTTTCCCATATCCGATATAAATATAATATACATATATACGTGTATATAACGCCATCTGGTCATGGGTCAACGTGCATGTATAAATGCATGAAATGCATAAGAAATACGTTAATAAGATTTTCTCAGAATGCCATAAACATCCATATGCCTTTCGGATAACCATTATCAAATACGTATTTTTTGAGACCCATGAACAGAAGATATAATAATAATCCACATAGGGAATCAAGAATATAGACACCCCTAGTATTTCTACGAATAGAGTCATTTATGAAAGTTGCGTATTTTGCTCGTTTCATTTGTTTTATTTGGATCGTTCCAAAAAGAAAGAAGGGATAGCCTTAACATACCTGGAGTAGGGGAAAATCCGTATAATATTCTTGTAGGAGAATTTTATTGCAAGAAATCTCGTTGTTAATGTCTTGTAGGAGCTTGAATTGTAAGCGTTTCTAACGTTCTGATTGTGTCTTTGTTTTCAAGACGTGAGTAATGAAGCTGTGTTGAAAGCTTTGAAAATGGCTAACGTTCTGTTTTTTTGTAACCTCCTAACTATCAATTCACTCCTAAGTTATAGTTGTAGGAAATTGACTAATATTCTGTATCATTGATTGTGGGGATGGTATATCAAATGTAAGAAATGTAGTGTCCTTTATTTGTTAACATGGTTGCCACCTTATAAGCAAGACTAAGGAGTCATTTGCTTTAAAATGTGGCTAGATGCCACGTTTCATTGGGGCAGGGGGTTACTCTTATCTTATAATTTAATAATTAAATGTTTTATTATCTGATAATTAACCAATTATTCGTATAATTAAGAATTATCTCAACTACTTAAAATACTACTCTTTTTTAATATACTTTATACATAATACTATCATGGTCATATGGTACCTTGTATGGTACTAGTCCATAAATAGCGGGTATTATTGTTCGACCCGTATTTTATCCCAAATCGACAACCTTCAACGAAACTCGTTTTATTTAATTCGTGTACCCTTTAACCTTCATGACACTTACTTATCGCTTCTTATAAATAGCATAAATACTTTAACCTCAAGATAATCCCATCCCCGAGTCTACGTCGATTAACTGAAGACAAAACTTTAACGTACGAAAACACGAGATGTAACAGCCTTCCCCCCTTAGAAACGTTCGTCCTCGAATGATTAACTCTCCGGGATCTATATAACCATGGCAGAGTCGCCTTTGTAACAATACTACTACCAACTCTTCCTGTAGAAATTCAATAATTCAACGCAACATAGGACCACAATAATCAATAACGATAACGGCCTCATACGACTAAAGAGAATAACTGACACAAGAATCCATACACGTACCTTAAGGTTATGACGTCTCAGTCGGACCCTTCTCTAGAGGAGGAAATAAGTAGGGATATCTAGACTTCATGTCTTCCTCGGCCTCCCAAGTCATTTCTTCCACATTGTTGTTTCTCCAAAGTACTTTCACCGAAGCTACGTCTTTAGTTCTCAATCTCCGAACCTGTCTATCTAGTATAGCAGTTGGAGTTTCTTCGTATGATAGCTCCTCTGTGACCTGAACATCGTCAACTGACACGATTTTGGAAGGATCTCCGATACATTTACGGAGCATAGACACATGAAAGACTGTATGTACAGACTCCAAATCCGAATGCAAGTCCAACTCATATGCTACCTGGCCTACCTTGCGTATGACCCTATATGGTGCAATGTACCGAGGGATAAGTTTTCCTTTCTTACCGAACTTCATAACGCCTTTCATCGGAGATACCTTTAGGAATACCCAATCGTCAACCTGAAATTCCAAGTCTCGTCTCGATTATTCGCATAAGACTTTTGACGGCTTTGAGCTGCTAATAGCCTTTCCTGTATAAGCTTAACTTTCTCGATTGCCTGCTGTACCAATTCTTCTCCTACTAATGTAGTTTCCACAACATCGAACCACCCTATAGGCGACCTGCACTTTCGTATGTAAAGAGCTTCATATGGAGCCATCTAAATACTGGAGTGGTAGCTATTATTATATGCGAACTCAATATGCGGTAGATGATCATCCCAACTACCCTTGAAGTCTATCACACAAGCTCGTAACTGTTGATACCCAATTTTTCCCTAAGTATTTCTTATACCTAAATATTTTTAAAATAGCATATTGGTGCATATATAAGCACATCCAAGAGTTTTGACATTTTTTTTTGATGATTTTAAAACCAATTTATCGCCTATTTTTACACAACAAAATCCAATAATTATTTCCAAAAATATCATTTTGGTGAATAATTCATTTTATTTTCAGATTTACACCTAAATATAATTAAAGTAATTTTCGCATATTTTTTACAAATTTGTTTGATATTTTAAAGCTAAATTGCATGTAATTGCAATTATAGCCCATCTTGTGATTTATGACATTTTACGTTTATATAATTAGTCCCAGCATTTTTTTAATTAATATTTATATAATACTTATTTATCCAGTACGTTTAATTTATTTTTAAAATCAGTATTACCATTTTTATAAAATTAAAAGGGGAAAATTGGCTATTTACAATTTGGCCTTATTGCATTTTAGTTTTAGCCAATTTGGCACTCCATCTCAGTCCCAATTTAAAAACCCAATTACCCAGCTCAATTAACACGTCTACCCGACCCATACCCTTTCTAACATACCCAAACCCGTTCCCCATTTAACCCGTTTAATCCCAGTCGTTGATCCTTTAGATCAACGGCTCTCCTCTTCCCTTTCCTTTTTTAATTCAAAAGACTCTAAAACCCTACCTCATTTTTTCTCGACAACCGCCTCTGAATCCTCTCCTCTCTCAACTCTCTCTCAACTTACCCCAAACCCTAGCCGCCGCCTCTCCTCGAAACCCTAATCTATGGCTTCTCAGGCTTATCGAAGGCCTATACTAGACTCTCATGGCTTCTGTGTGCTCGCTTCTAAAGGTCCAATGACCAGATCTTGAAGGGTTCCGACCAAGCCTTTGTTCGATGACTGTTCTCCGGTCGTCTTCAACCTTTGTCCTGCTAGTCGTGGCTATTTGAGTTCGATCTTCGACTTCTCTGCTCAGATCAATGGTTTCCAAAGCCTATCTCGTCACCTGGGTTTCTTACGAAACCCTAATCTCTAAGGGTTCCTTCGATTTATTTTAGATCTGTCCTGGATCTATGTGTGTGTGAACCTTTTATGCGTTTTTCTCGAAGATTCTTAACTTTTGCTTTCAGAAATTCTTTATTCTTCAACTAGGGTTTCATGTCATGTTATTTCAAATCTCTTCTCTGATTCTCGACTTGTTTTACTGTGTTTTGTTTGTGTTATATTAGCATGTTGAAAACCCTAATTTTCTTGGGGATTTTGTCTGAGTTTCTTGGTCTGTTTGTTAATGGTCGCTTGATTTGCCTTATTTTTATCTGAGTTAGCATGTTGAAAACCCTAATTTTGGGCTTATCCGAGGTTCTGAACCTATTTATTTGTTTATCTGTTTATCTCCTCTAAATTCGATTGATTTTTGAAAACCCTAGTCTCTTTGGGGATTATTCAATTTCTTTGAAGTTGTTTGTGCAACTCGTCAGTTGAAATTGCAGTATGCTTCAATTCTCTTGACTGTTTTGGTTTTGAGTTCTTTGCATGCTTCTGATCTTCTTCTTTATTGTTAAAACACTGAAACTTGACCATCATGCTTCGAATGTCTTCTTTTGGTTACTACTATACGCTGTTATTTTTCCATAACTTGGCTTCACGTGTCTATTACTTGTGCATTTATTTATATATACTGAGTTCCTTCTGTGATTGATTCTCAAAACTTGTGATCAATTTTCAAAACTTTTCCTTTATGAAATGCTGATTTTTACTCGCCTGTTAAGGAGTAATTGATTTTTTTCCTTGATTGGCCTCCCTGAATCTTTCCAAAAATAATTTCAAACCTTGTACTTAGACTTAATTGCCCAGTGTATTACCTTACTGCTTCTCTTATGGCAACAACCATTCTATTTACAAGGCTTATTCTCCCTTTCCTTATTTAAATCCTGTTAGTATTCGATTGAATAAGAATCCCCTGATTAAAGGAGAGTCTTATACTAATTTGATTCTGATTTGTGACCATGCCATATTTGTGATAGACTTGTACTTGTTACCTTATTTCTCTACACGTTTTCAAAGCTATAAATACTCTCCTCCCTTTTCTTTGAACACACATGAACACAGAATACCATCTGAGTTCACAATTCCCTTTCACTCTCTCTTTCTGATACTCACACTGCTGTGGACTTTGGCTCGCTTTCTTCTGTATTCTTTACTTCTATACCGGTATGTTTCAATTTGTTTATACGCCCCAAGAACAATGTGTTTAATTCTGTCCGCATGTTTTCTAGCATATTATAACGTGTTTCCCCTTCTCTTACAGTCCAGCATTTAAATAATTTGTGCAGTTGTTTGTTTGTTGTGAATATGATGCTTTATGAATTCCCTTACCCCTTTTACCCCTTTGTATGTGAGTTTATTGTTCAGGGCATAGCAGCACCCCAATATTGCTGTCTATGATCCTGAACTGGGTTCATTGAACTCCTCAACTCAATCAATTCCCACTTCCCATTCTCCCCATTATGTGCTTGAGCCTTGACTTAGGTCTGATAGTGTCCTAATCACTATCCAGACCTTTGTCTGACCATCAAAAGGTCTGCTCCTAACTTGTTCATCTAGCAAGTGGTCAGGGGTGTGCCAGCCTACCTTATGGCTAGGTATGACCACCACTTGTCATGGCCCCCTAATTCCCTTTCACTTTGCACTTACTCCTAGCTATAAGTTCTGCCCCTCTCTTGCAAGCCATGCTTTGGGACCCCTGAGCTCCCTCTGAACTTGGATGCCTGAGGGCTGGCTATTCCACACTGCACCATCCTGTTCATAATGGCATCCTGGGTGTAAGCAATGCCTGGAATCCCTGAGGTTCCTTGAAACTTTGAAACACCCTGGATAATGAGAAGGCTTTGGAGATCTGGACCCCGGAGTTGGTTAAATACATATTATTGGACATTAAGATTGAATTAGGCTGCTTGGATCTAGCTGTTAGTTTTTGATGTATTTTTATTATTTCAGTTGATTCATTGGGTTGTAATAACTTGTATAGAACTCGGGGAATCTAGTAAAAGGGTGTGGGAGGGGTTTTACTTTCTTGCATCAATAAAGGGTAGATATCATGACTTTAGGACTTTAATTTTTTCACTAGAAATACTGCACATAAGATGGTTCGATGTTTCTGATTCAAGTCACCTAGATACCATGCCTATAGGGTTTAACGTTTAATTATGATATAAGTCATCTAGAAATCCTGCCTATAGGACCTTAACGTTCATGTAATCAGTGCATATAGAAATCATGCCTATAGGGAATGCATATGCATTAGGCAAACTGTAGGGTAATTAAATAATTACCTCTTCTTACCAGTTCTTAACAGACTTTTTAAAATCATATATAGATATCATAGGATTCCGCATCAAGTTCGTCCGATTCTTCTTAAGCAATAACAATCTGTTAACTGGTCTCTAATGTCTTAATGTTTTCAGCCTCAATCTTTTGACAAAAACTCTTTTGAATCAGTATACATTTGAGTCCTTCAAATCAGCACCTCTTCTGAAATGGTTTCTTTCTAAAATTCTGCCCAAACATTTTCCAACTAAGTTTTGGTCTTCCTGAAATTGTCTTTAAAACAGTTCTGCAGTTTACTCTTTCCTTAAGTATTTCTGACTCTGGAACTCCTTTTATGGTTTATACTCATAATTCTCTTAAAACTTATTTCTAAACTGACTGCAGTCTGTACTTTCCGGCATTAGACTATTTTTCTAGAACCAGTACTTTCTAAATCACTCGCTTAAAATACCTTAAGTTCTGACAATTGGATCCAAGTTGCTTAATGTGGGCTTCTTGTCTAAACGTATGTATCGAACCAGTCCGCTCGCTGCTTAATTTTTAATTTTAAAGACTAAACCAGTATGTGTAAAGGCATGCTAAACTATATGTTATCTGATTTACGGGGTTTATGTGAGCCTTACCTGTTTGTCTGTTCATTCTCCCTACTTGTTACTTGTTTTTGAATGTCGATTAAAATTTTTGTCCTTTAAACTCCATAAAGGCCCCCATCCCTTTCTTCCCCTTTTAGGATTAGAAGTCCTAATGCCCCGGGACTGATAGCTTGGGACGGGTAATAGCATGCGATAGGCAAACGATACCATTCCGCGCTCCAATACGTTAATGGGGTGGGAAATGGTAGACATGGAGATGATGATTACACGATAACACTATGCGTACAATTGAGTACCAGTGTTGTGTGAATGATCCATGTAATATATAAACCTAGGACCCCCCCCCCCCCTCCCTCTTTATTAGTTTAACAATTTTTTGAATCTTTAAAAGCTGTTGCACTTTCGACTTCTGTTTTTCACATAATTTTCAGATTGTTCGCACTAAGTACTTGACTTCTTCCTACTTGCACTTTTAACTAAACTGCTCCTTATTTGTAATAGTTTTCTCGTATTTGCAATGCTTGCTTGTTTACTTGTTTGTTTGCATTCAAAGTCACAAATTGTAGCATGGCCGGGAACCACACTAGTGGATCTTGAGGGGTGCCTAACACCTTCCCCTCGAGATAATTTCTAGCCCTTACCCAAACTCTGGTTCTTCATCTCAAATTCTTCCTTAAAGTTTCCTAATGCACTATAATCATTAGGTGGCGACTCTTCAAACTAAAAAACCCAATTCTCGCAAGGGAATAGAGTTGTCCTCCCGAATGTCTTATACCCGATTCCGAACTCCATTTTGGAAGAAAAAGGGGGCGTCGACAGCATGGCGACTCTGCTGGGGACATCTTTAGGCTTTTACCATTACATGCTATATGTGGCTTTATTGCTTTCTTTATTGCTTTTGTTTAATACCTTTATTTGAAACTGACTTGTTTCTTTTGTTTCTTTTTCTTTAATTGCTGCATTCCGTCAACACTGTTGTG